ACATCATACATGAAGAAAGCAAGAGGTCATTAAAAAGACAGGAAAGAAAGAAAAGACCAAAATGGATGTCAGAAGAGACTCTGAAACTTGCTCTTGAACGTCGAGTAGCTAAAGCAAAAGGAAGAAATGAGGAAGTAAAAGAACTGAACAGAAGATTTCAAAGGGCAGGTTGAGAAGGCAAAGTAAAGTACTATAATGACATGTGCAAACAGCTGGAGATAAAAAAACAAAAAAGAATACATACACTAGGCATTTCTCAAGCTGAAAGAACTGAAGAAAAAATTCAAGCCTCAAGTTGCAATAGTGAAGGATTCTATGGAGAAAATATTAAACGAGGCAGGAAGCACCATAAGAAGATGGAAGGAATACACAGAGCCATTATGCCAGAAAGAATTGGTTGACCTTCAGCCATTTCAAGAGGTAGCATATGATCAGGAACCAGTGGTACTGAAGGAAGAAGTCCAAGCTGCACTGAAGGCATTGGTGAAAAACAAGGCTCCAGGAATTGACAGAATAGTAATTGAGATGTTTCCACAAGTGGATGCAGCACTGGAAGTGCTCAGTCATCTGTGCCAAGAAATTTGGAAGACAGCTGCTTGGCCAACTGCATGGAAGAGATCCACATTTATGACTATTTCCAAGAAAGGTGAGCCAACTGAATGTGGAAATCATCGAGCAATATCATTGATACCACATGCAAGTAAAATTTTGCTGAAGATCATTCAAAAGTGGCTGTCATTGAATATTGACAGGGAACTGCCAGAAATTCAAGTTGGATTCAGAAAAGGATGTGGAACCAGGAATATCATTGCTGATGTCAGATGGATTCTGGCTAAAAGCTGAAAGCAGAGAATGCCAGAAAGATGGTTATGTGTGTTTTATTGACTATACTAAGGCATTCAACTGTGAGGATCATAACAAATTATGGATAACATGGTGAAGAATGGGAATTCTAGAACACTTAATTGTGCTCATATAGAACCTGTACATGGATCAAGAGGCAGCAATTCGAACAGGACAAGGGGATGCTGCGTGGTTTAAAGTCAGGAAGTGTGTGCATCAGGGTTGCATCTTTTCACCATACCTATTCAATCTGTGTGCTGAGCAAATAATCCAAGAAGCTGGACTATTTATGAAGAAGAATGGGGCATCAAGATTGGAGGAAGACTTATTAAGAACCTGCATTATGCAGATGACATAACCTCACTTGCTGAAAGTGAGGGGACTTGAAACACTGATGAAGATCAAAGACCACAGCCTTCAGTATGGATTACATCTCAACATAAAGAAAACAAAAATCCTCACAACTGGACCAATAAGCAACATCATGATAAATGCAGAGAAGTTTGAAGTTGTCAAGGATTTCATTTTACTTGGATCCACAATGAACACCCATGGAAGCAGCCGTCAAAAATCAAAAGATGCATTGGGCACATCTGCTGCCAAAGACCTCTTTAAAGTGTTGAAAAGCAGATATCACCTTGAAGACTAAGGTGTGCCTGACCCAAGCCATGGTATTTTCAGTTGCGTCCTATGTATGTGAAAGCTGGACAGTGAATAAGGAAGACTGAAGATCTGATGCCTTTTAATTGTGGTGTTGACGAAGATTATTGAATATACCATAGACTGCCAAAAGAACAAAAAAATCTGTCTTGGAAGAAGTACAACTAGAATGCTCCTTAGAAGCAAGGATGGCAAGACTACGTCTTACATACTTTGGACATGTTATCAGGTGAGATCAGTCCCTGGAGAAGGACATGATGCTTGATAAAGTGGAGGGTTAGCAAAAAAGAAGAAGACCCTCAGCGAGATGGATTGACACAGTGGCTGCAACAGTGGGCTCAAGCATCACAACAACTGTGAGCGTGGTGCAGGACCGGGCAGTGTTTCATTCTGTGATGCATAGGGCCACTAGGAGTCAGAACCAACTCGATGGCACCTAACAACAACAACAACTACACTGGGAAGGACAAAATGAAGAGGAATGGCATCACATTCATTGTCAAAAAGAACATTTCAAGATCTATCCTAAAGTACAGAGCTGTCAGTGGTAGGATAATATCCTCACACCTACAAGGAAGACCAGTTAATATGATGATTATTCAAATTTAGGCACCAACCACTAATGCCAAAGATGAAGAAATTGAAGATTTTTACTGATTTCTGCATTCTAAAATTGATCAAACATGCAATCAAGATGTGTTGATACTTACTGGTGGTTGGAATGTGAAAGTTGGAAACAAAGAAGAAGGATTAGTAGTTGGAAAATATGGCCTTGTTGATAGAAACAGTGCTGAAGATTGCATGATAGAATTTTGTAAAATGATGATCTATTCATTGGAAATACCTTTTTTCAGTTACATTAATAGTGATTATACACGTGGACCTCGCCATATAGAATACACAGGAATAAAATAGACTACATCTGTGGAAAGAGATGATGGAGAAGCTCAATATCATCACTCAGAACAGAGCATCAGTTGTTCATATGCAAGTTCAAGTAAAGATGAAAAATATTAAAACAAGTCCACATGAGCCAAATTATGACCTTGAGTATGTACCACCTGAATTTAGATCATCTCAAGAATAGATTTGAAGTATTGAACACTAATGACTGAAGACCAGACAGTCTGTGAGGGACGTCAAGGACATCATACCTGAAGAAAGCAAAAGGTTATTAAAAAGACAGGAAAGAAAGAAAAGACAAATGGATGTCAGAAGACTCTGAAACTTGCTCTTGAACATCGAGTAGCTAAAGCAAATGGAAGAAATGATGAAGTAAAAAGAGTTGAACAGAAGATTTGAAAGTTGGGCTCAAGAAGACAAAGTATTATAATGAAATGTACAGAGGCCTGGAGTTCGAAAACCAAAAGGGAAGAACACGCTCAGCATTTCTGAAGCTGGAAGAACTGAAGAAAAAATTCAAGCCTCAAGTTACAATATTGAAGGATCCTTTGGGCAAAATATTGAAAAACACAGGAGGCATCAAAAAAATATGAAAAGAATACACTGTACCAAAAAGAATTGGTCAAAGTTCACCCATTTAAGGAGGAAGCATATGATCAAGATCCAACGGTATTGAAGGAAGAAGTCCAAGCTGCACTGGAGGCATTGATGAAGAACTAATGGAAATGTTTCAGTAAATGGATGCAATGCTGGAAGCACTCAGTTGTCCATGCCAATACATTTGGAAGAGAGCTACGTGGCAAACTGACTGGAAGAATCCATATTTGTGCCCGTTCCAAAGAAAAGTGATCCAACAGAATGTGGAAATCATCAAACAATATTGTTAGTATCACACACAAGTAAAATTTTGCTGAAGATAATTCAAAAGTGGTTGCAGCAGTACATCGACAGGGGACTGCCAGAAATTCAAGCCAGATTTGAAAGAGGACATGGAACAAGGGATATCATTGCTGATGTAAGATGGATCTTGGCTACAAGCAGAGAATACCAGAAAGATGTTTACCTGTGTTTTATTGACTATGCAAAGGCATTTGACTGTGTGGATCATAAAAAATTATGGATAAAGTTGTGAAGAATGAGAATTCCAGAACACTTAATTGTGGTTATATGCAACCTATACATAGACCAAGAGGCAGTCGCAGTTGTTCGAACAGAACAAGGAATACTGCGTGGTTTAAAATCAGGAAAGGTGTGCATCAGGGGTGTATACTTTCACCATACTTGTTCAATATATATGCTGAACAAATAATCCAAGAAGCTGGACTATATGAAATCGAATGAGGCATCAGGATTGGAGGACGTTTCATTAACAACCTCTGATATGCAGATGACACAACCTTGCTTGCAGAAGCAAAGAAGACTTGAAGTACCTACTGATGAAG